TGGTCCTTTGATACCCAAATCGAAGTCAGCCTGGGTTGCAGGATAGGGGTGAGGCTAGGGCTGTAGAGCTGACCCCAGACTGTGCCCCCACAGGCTGCCCCCGGGTACCACATGGCCAAGATGATCATCAAGCTCATCACGGCCATTGGGGATGTGGTCAACCACGACCCAGTGGTGGGAGACCGCCTCCGCGTGATCTTCCTGGAGAACTACCGAGTCTCACTGGCTGAGAAAGGTAGGGAGCTGCCCACAGGGACCCGAGGGAGGCTCTGACGAGTTCAGTCCCAGGAAGAGACACTAGTCATCTTTTGCTGGGTACTCGCTCTTCAAAGGAGAATCTGGAGAGGGCAATGCTTAAACCACAAGGATGTCCTTCTGATGGTGGAATTTCAGGCAATATAGGGTAAAATTACCAGGGACACGGGCCTTGTTGATGCCCTTCAGATCACACAATGGAGGCAGGGAGAATCCAGGTTGGATCTCAGGTTCTCAAGAATCAACGAGAAGTGGAGGGCAGGGTGCGAGTGAGAGGGATGCTTGCTTGGTGAAGAGGGATGCAGATTGGCATGGAGGGGACTCTGGATCTGGTCATGCCGAGGGCCAGCCTCATCCCAGAGTCCCCAGCTGGGGTGGGGTTCTTCCCCGAGGTGACCTGGTCCCTCTGCTGCCGCTCCACAGTGATCCCAGCTGCCGACCTCTCTGAGCAGATCTCCACTGCGGGCACTGAGGCCTCAGGCACTGGCAACATGAAATTCATGCTCAACGGAGCTCTGACTATCGGCACCATGGACGGGGCCAACGTGGAGATGGCAGAGGAGGCTGGAGAGGAGAACTTCTTCATCTTTGGCATGCGGGTGGAGGACGTGGAAAAGCTTGACCAGAGAGGGTACGGGGGTCACGGATGGGGGGCACCATGGTGTGGCTGCCAGAGAGCAGTGCTGGGAGTGGGGGGCATGCCTGGAAAGGCTGGCGAAGGCTGTGCAAGGTCTTAGTTATGGCCACCGGCATTCTGGAAAATGTTTGAGGGAGCTTATGGCAAATAAGGTTAACCAAATGGGAGAAGTAACACAGACCAGAAGGAAAAGGAAGAGAAAATTATATCAACCCTAAGAGATAAGAGTGTTCTAGAATGGGAAGTAAAATGAAATCCTTTGCTTCCTGGAAGCCACAGCAAAAAGGGAAATATGTGCACAGTAGTAGCAGCTCTGCGTGTGGTCAGAAACACCGTTCTTCAGAGGAGATATTTTCCTGGCATTACTTTAAAGATTTATTTTTAAATGAGATTTTTTTTCTTATCATAAAAGTAATATGCGCTCATTGATTGGAAAAATACAAAACCACAAAGAATGAAATAACTGTCATCCATAATCTCATCACCCAGATTTAAAGCCACAGTCCCCCTTTTATGCATTTATGTTTATATATATTTTATATGTTTATATGTTCAAATGTATAAACCTATAATATATATTTATAATGTAAATAACTGTCATCCATAATCTCATCACCCAGATTTAAAGCCACAGTCCCCCTTTTATGCATTAATGTTTATATATATTTTATATGTTTATATGTTCAAATGTATAAACCTATAATATATATTTATAATGTATATATAGAGTACTATAATATATATGTATATATAAGCATATACATATAGCTTTCAAAAGTTGGGAATAATGTATGTACAATTTTGAATCCTGATATCTTATTTAACATTGGAGAGACATTTTCCATGTCATTAAATAGTCTTCAAAATATTTTCAATGTTTGTATAGTGTTCAGTCTTGTAGACATGATATAGCTTATTTAACCCATTCCATATAATTGGATTAAGGTTGATTTCCCCTGTTAGTCTAACTATTACTGTGATGAACAACTTTTGCACCTATGCCATATCTCCAATTATTTTCTTAATTATAAGAGGGGATATTTTTGAGCCCCAAAGTATGAATTCTTAAGGTTCTTGACTCAGATTGCCAAATTGCTTTCCAGAAAGTTAGTACCAGTTTACACTCTCACCAACCACTTATGAGAGCTGGCGTTATTAAATACTGAAAGGAATTTCTCCTGTCAGGATTGATTAGAAAGTTCAGACTTTGTCCTTTGGGCAGGAGAAGAGCAGTTGGACAGTCTGAGTTCAAGGGGACATACCTGAGGATGGACCTGTTGGCTTCTCTTGGAGCCCGAAGGCGAGGCCAGAGATGCATGTGGGATAGTGGGGGACAAAAGCCATTTATGGATGAAGCAAACCCATTAGGAGTCACATTGGTGTGTGGGAGGCAGAGCACTTGTTTGGGGGCCTTGGCTCCGACACTTACCTTTCTCTCCCCTCCAGGGTTAAGTTTCCTCATCCACAAAATTGGGGATGAAAAGCTGAGCAGAGAAGGGAGGGGACGGCCAGGGGAGGACCTCCAGAGGGGGTATGGCAGCTTCAGGGAGGGCAGCAGCAGGCTGGGCCTGGGTTTTGACCCTGGAGCTTGGGACTTCCCAGATTTTCTCTGGAGGAGGAGTCAGGAACCTTCTGCAAAGAACTGACCACCGCTCTGCCCTGGCAGGTACAACGCCCAGGAGTACTATGACCGCATTCCTGAGCTTCGGCAGACTATCGAGCAGCTGAGCAGCGGCTTCTTCTCCCCTAAACAGCCCGACCTGTTCAAGGACATTGTCAACATGCTCATGCACCATGACCGGTGAGCAGGCCACTCCAGGAACCACGCAGGTGGGGCTGCTGGGTTGCACAGGGGTCCTGGATAGTGGGGCCAGGCCCCTTCGGAAGCAGCATCACACTCCGGGTTCCCAGCTGTCCACTGCTACAAGATGGGTTTGGCCCTTGACCTTATAGAGCTTCCTGCCTCTCCTTTCCCCTCCAGCTTTAAAGTCTTTGCGGATTATGAAGACTACATTAAATGCCAGGAGAAAGTCAGTGCCCTATACAAGGTGAGGGGTCCTGGGTTGGGGTTGGCAGTGCTTTGGTGGCCCTTGCTGAGATGAGGCAGAACGTGGGGTCCCCGTCGGCATAGTGAACCCAGAGCTTCCCTTTGGCCTGTAGAACCCGAGAGAGTGGACGCGGATGGTGATCCGGAACATAGCCACCTCGGGCAAGTTCTCCAGCGACCGCACCATTGCCCAGTACGCCCGGGAGATCTGGGGCGTAGAGCCTTCCCGTCAGCGCCTGCCAGCCCCTGATGAGATGATTTGAGCCTCCAGTCCAGACCCCAAATCAGCCCTTGAGCCTGTTTGCAGTCCCTTGGGCCAGCCCCAGCTTCTGATCCAGAGGGTGGGGTGTTGGAGTTAGATCTCTAAGCCTCTTCCTGGAACCCTCATTTTCCCCTAGCCTCGAGGTCCTAGAGTCCAGCGTGACTAAGGACACTGCTCCACTCCTGTCCTCGGGCTCCCCGCCCCCTCCTATTTATGGGGTCTGACCAACCGCATCTGCTCCCCAATAAATTGATTCTCCTTGGGATCGTCCTTACTCCTCTCTCTGTTGAGAAATATTTTTAGTTCTTGGTGGGCACAACAGCAGCTGCGCAATCGCCCCCATATCCCCCACCCCGGCAGGTGCCTCCCAGGGCGGGGGGATGGTGGGGGGAAAGTGGAGGGGACCGCCCGCCGGGGCGGGGCCTGGGACTCTCCAGCCCCTTTCCCCGGCGTCACCCTCCACGCCTCTCTTCCCAGCGCTGTGTCCATACTAGGTCAGCGGCCAGCCTGGATGGCTGGGGCGGGGCGTCCGTCTGGGTGGGACCCACCGGGGCTGGGAGCCGGGACTTGGGCTGAAGCCTCCGGGACTACCGAGGATCCACGCTGTCGGGGGCGGGACCCAGGAGGGGAGGAACTCGTGGAGGCTTGGCGCCGTCTTGGCCCCGCCCCTAGCCCCGCCCCACTGCGGCGTTTAAGGGTCTCTTAGCAGGCGGCGATGCTCCATCCAAAGTCGGGGCAGCGTTAGGGAAGGGGACATCCACAGATCGTCTAGGCTAGGCCACTGTCCACCCCCCTCATTATGGGGAAACTGAGGCCAGAAAGGGCCTGTTTCTAGGTCTCACATTACCAAGATTGATGCCCGAGGGTTCTTTCGTGCAGGTGTGCATGGGGTGTGGGTGCCATTGTGTGTGTGAGACAGAGGATGAGCGGCGAGTGCCTGTGGACCGGGGTGTGTGAGCGGGGTGTCTTGTTCCTCAATGTAGCTCCCTGGCCTCCGGAGAAACATTTGGGTGTGGGGTGAGTGTCTGTCCCTGCAAAGGTGCCTATGACCCCGCCACTGACCGGAACTGCTGGGGGTGTCATGCACGCATCGGCCACCCCCAGGGCGCTAGCGCCCCCTTCTGGGCACCCTACTCCGTGTGCGCTCACAGCTTGCCTGTGCGGGGTGGGGGCCTGGGTCAGGACCCGGGCTAGGGAGGAAGATGGCCTGTGGAAGGGCTGAGTCCGGGCCCTTGGGGCCTTCACGGAGGTGGCTTGGGAGCGCGCGGTTCCCAGGCTCGGGCTTCCCGCTGCCGCCTCCGGGCCGCAGCAGGCTCCCCCCGCCCCAGGAATGTTCCTCTCCACTCCAGCCCCTCCCCAAGGGCTGGCCCCTGGGGGCCGCCACGGCCCCGCCTCCCCTCCCTGGGCGCCCGGGAGGGGGCGATGCGGGCAGGACGCCTGGGTTCTCTCCTCCCCCCGCCCATCCCAGGGAGAAATTCCTCCGAGGTCCCCTCAGGCTCTGGGTTCCCAAAATAACCTTGCGGGGGAAGGGAGGCTGTGAGGGAGGAAGCGGCAGGGGCGCAGAGCCGAGCTGCGGGGCGCTGCAGGTGCCTCTGGGGAGAGGGCGCGAGGAGAAGAGGGCCTGCGGGAGGCCGGGGCAACAAGCAGCCCCCGAAGGCCTGGCTCGTCCCCATCCCCGTAGAGTCCCTTGGCCCTCCTGTGACTCCAAGCGTAGGCCGGAAGCCTCTCGGCGGGTCGGTTTCCCAACTGGAGGGTTGCACCATCCCGGGCCGGACCGTTTAACCCCGGGAGCGGCAGTGGCCGACAACTCCGCCCCTGCCCAGCAGGGGGCGTGCCCGCCCCGACGCGTTCCAGCCCCCGAGGCCGCTCCCCCGGCCTGCGCCTCCGTACACTCCCGCTCTGCCTCTCCCGGGACAGGGGTCTGTCTGGTCCGAGCCCCGTGGGAGGCTCCCGGAGCGCAGCTTGGGCCCAGCCCACCAGCGCCTGAGGCCATGGCGGGCACCGTGGACCTGGACAAGGGCTGCACGGTGGAGGAGCTGCTCCGCGGCTGCATCGAAGCCTTCGGTGAGTGCTACGGGGGGGCACACCCAGCTCCACATCCTGCAGTCTCTTCAACGAAAGCCTCCTCTGCATCAGAGGGTGGAGAGACGAGCACGCTTCAGACAGGTCGAATATTGCCCTTCCCCATTCTTCCCGAGCCAGCGGTGGACGGGGGCCAGGGTCCCAGACTGTGACACTTGAGGGCATTATCTGTCTGTCCCCGGGATCCGGAGGAACTCGCTATCTCCGGCCTAGGAGCTGTTTCCGGCTGATGGGGGAGGCTTATGTGGTGAAGGGGTTCCCCTTCCCCCCGAGCTCTCAGGAAATGGCCTGTGGATCCTTGACTCCGGGGCACCCAGGGTCCTTCCGCCCCAGCTGGTTCCCCTCCTCTCCTCCAGCCCCTCGGATCCTGCCTTACCCCTCTCCCACCCGACTTTTTCCTTCTAATTTGCCTCCTGGTTTCCGAGTCCTGGCAAAGCAGGAGGTGGGCGGGGGCAGGAGTGCGGCCCGAGGGGCCTGACACCCGTCGGGCTGCACGGCAGGGTTTAGGGATCATCGTTGCAGGACCAAGGGTCAGCCCGCTTCTCTTTGACCCTTCCGAGGTAGATGATTCCGGGAAGGTGCGGGACCCGCAGCTGGTGCGCATGTTTCTCATGATGCACCCCTGGTACATCCCGTCCTCTCAGCTGGCGGCAAAGCTGCTCCACATATATCCTTCGCGGGCCTGGTCCACGAGCGAGCCCCGCCGCCCAGCCCCGTCCTAGAGTGCAAGCCCCCCACCGCTCCTGTATCCCAGGCCCAGGCTGGCCCCAGCCTCCCTGTAAAACCCAGGCCCCAGCCCTCTCCTCCCCTCACGACACAGCAGCACCGCCCCCCCCCCCCCCCCC